TAACCTTACACTCATCCAACAATGTAAAAATCTAACCATCAATCAAACATCCACCCATCCATCTAACTACAGTACTTAAAGGAACACTCTCATTCCGGCGTAATAATCAAGGAACTTTGCTGCCGTACCATGGGTGCAGCAGGCGCAATGATATTACGCAGCGCCTGAAAATAGGCTAACTTCCATCAACATAACCAAAATGACCACTTGCTTGCACAGGGAGCGTGCTGGGGACTATTTTCAGGCGCTGCGTAAAATTATTGCACCTGCTGCACCCATGGTACGGCAGCAAAGTTCCTTGATTATTACGCCGGAATGAGAGTATAGTTCCTAGCCATATCGGCCTAGAAAATCGCAACTTTTCAACTTAGTACATGATGTAACTACAGAAGAGTCAAGTTTTAAATAGGAAAAATATAGAAACTCTTCGGTCATTTTTGAGCGAGATGCAAACGTCTAATCAGATTCAATGATCTATGCTAATCTACAGCTAAAAGTGCTACTGCCAGACCCGGAGATCGGCTGAATGGATTCGAAAACGGTAAACTCAACTGTTTAACTCTAGGGGAGTTGGAAAATGAGCCTATTTTCAAAAATAGTGGAGTGTTCCTTTAACCATCATCCATCCATCTATCAAACATCCACCCATCCATTTAACTATTTAACCATTCATCCATCCATCCATCTAACAATCTAACCATCCACCCATTCATCTAACCATCTTACAAATCTAACCATCTAACATCCATCCATGCAACTATCCATCATCTAACCATTCATCCAAACATCCAACCTTCTAAACCATCAAACAATCTAACCACCAAACCATCCATCCATCAATCTAAACATCCATCCATTTGTTACTTTATATACATTTTCCCAAAAGTTCAAACAAGCCTTTGTCGAGCCAGCAAGATTCATAGTTTGTTTTGACTAACTTTGCTTTTCTATTTAAAAATCACAGTTACATGAACTTCTTTGAGTTTCACTTCCTTAAATTCAAATTGCAATTCTGCATCCTGTTTCAAATACAGAAATTCAACTGAAATTTTAAATGCATTCTCAGTTTAGTTCCCACAGCAGCATGATTTCAGGAAACATCTGCGTCTGTAGCACAAAATTTGAATAGTGTTGGGGATTTAATCAATAAGAATGAGAATGCTTGGCTTAGTGAGAACTGCTAAAACAGGACAAAAACCCAGACAAGTACAGGAGGATTGAGAACGTCCTCTGGATATTTAAAACTTCACGTGAAAATGTTAAAAGCATGTTAATGCTAAATCTCAATGGGCCTGAACTCAGCTCAGGGTGAGATGAGAGAAAAACAAGAAGAGAGCAGAAGCTCTGATGAGAGGGAAGAAGAAACAAGGGCACGATGAATGAGAGTAGAGATGGAGCAGGTCTGGATGCTGCTGATTTTTCACTCAGAATCGCATTGAACCGGAGAAGAAAAATCAATCACTGATACCTGCACTGACCAAACATATTGATGGCTGTCAAGATTAGCAGGGATCAAGCTAACCCGTCTCTCTCTCTCTGTCTGTCTGTGTGTGTGTGTGTGTGTGTGTTACTGCACATTCAATCATCGCTTCAATCATCGCCGAAGAACAGCAGACCTGAATGCCTCCAGCGCACAGATAATCATTTAGCATTTTTAAAACGCTGCTAATTAAGCGGCTGTCCTCTCTTTAGTCAAACACGAAGCTAAGTGAATACACTGTAAAGGACAGTCGTTTTGGAGCGAGTCAGACCACCTCTTGTTCAAATTACCACACACCGGTAATCAACAACAAAAACGCTCCTGTTCATCCTCATCTGCACTTTCCATTCCTGACGCCCGTGGAGAGAGTGTTCGAGAAGACACTTTAAAACTATAGTTTGTCAAGCTACTCATTATTTGAAGTGAACATCAATTGACATTTGCAACCCATTTAACTTACATAATAAGATGTGTGATTTGACTTTATCCATCTGGAATCGATTGGATAGTGAAAATAATGTTTCTGAATCTTTCTTTTTATTCTTACCACTAGATAATGAGGTCATTTACAGCTGCTTATCATTAATGTAATTAATGTATAAAATGTTAAATGGAGTCAATATTTTGTCATATATATTACTTTTAATCCATTTCACACTGACAAAATGTCATTAATGTGTCTTAAACTTTTACAAACTAAACCTTAATCAAACTTTCAAACATTTTAACCAAACCTAGTTTATATATAAAACATTATATATAACACATACAACATTTATTAATATACATATTAAAGAAAGTATATACTTGTTTGATATTTAAACAGGTGCATCTCAATAAATTAGAATGTCGTGGAAAAGTTAATTTATTTCAGTAATTCAACTCAAATTGTGAAACTCGTGTATTAAATAAATTCAATGCACACAGACTGAAGTAGTTTAAGTCTTTGGTTCTTTTAATTGTGATGATTTTGGCTCACATTTAACAAAAACCCACCAATTCACTATCTCAACAAATGAGAATATGGTGACATGCCAATCAGCTAATCAACTCAAAACACCTACAAAGGTTTCCTGAGCCTTCAAAATGGTCTCTCAGTTGTGTTCACTAGGCTACACAATCATGGGGATTAACATTTATTAATGTATCAAAGAAAGAATATAGTTATGATTAAATATTTTCTTTCTTTGCTTTTCTTATCTCGTTTTCGAACCCCAAAATATTAACAATTGAACAAAAAAAAAGAACCTTTGGCACCTAACAGTTTTGTCAATATTTTTGTAAATAATAAGGCTAAAACCATAAATGTTTTTACCAGCTACAAACTCACTTTCGCTACATTCACATGTGGAAAACTCATTTTCCACCATCAAACCAATTCCTAATAAAGCAGAAATGCATCACTCTTAGGGATGCAACGATTAACCGCGAGCCGGATGAAAATCAATTCAAATATGTGACAATTCATCTCGGTTGAGATGCTAAACAAAGTTAGATGGTATCTTTTCTTTTCATCTTGCTTCATGAATGCATATTAAAGTTCATAATTGCAGCGCTCCTTTGTTTACAGCGGAAACCAAGAACACACTTTAAGCGCCACCTGCTGGCAGAGAGTGAATCCGTGTCTCGTTCAGCTCGTCTGCTGTTTCGGTTTCTGTTTCATGCAGATATTTTTATGTATAGTTTCAAAAAACTGAAGTCAAACCATTCTGTTTTTGCTTCAAATTTCTAAATTATACAATTTAATTTAGATCAAAAACTGCTCGTGTTGCATGTATGCAGCATCTTTGTTTGGATCATGATTAAAATGCAGTTGTTGCCTCTAATTTTAAATGGAAAGAGCACAGACAAAGCCTTATTTTGTTGAAGAGATTTATTTTATTTGTGTTACTTATTTATTTGATTTGGGGCTTGTTTTAAAATTTCAATGTAGTTTTGTTATTTACATTTACATTATATTTACATTTTGACATTTAGCAGACACTTTTGTCCAAAGCGACTAACAAATGAGGACAATAGAAGCAATCAAAACCAACAAAAGAGCAATAATTTACAAGTGCTATTTTAGTATATTATTATAGTGTTATATTTCAATTTCACAAAGAAATGTGCAGCATTTTGTCCAAGCAATAATACAAGGACACATTTAATTTATAATTTGTCTTAAATCTCATTTTGTTAAAAATAATAATAATCGTGAATCGAATTGAATCGTGAAATCAAAATCATGAATCGAATCGAACCGTGAGTTGAGTGAATCGTTACATCCCTAATCACACTACAGGATTAAAATGAGTTGCATATGCGGTTTCATGTTGACTTTAACCACGACTGAACCCAGAGCTCAAATCGAGAATCCCACCTCCAAACTAACAAGCTATCGCCTGAAGACAATGTGTTTCCTGACAGAAAGCCTCACTGTGAGAATCTCTCCAGACGGCCAACAGGTGCATCACCTTGAGACCCTGAATACAGAGCGAACAGGAGCAAACAGACAGATTTCACTCTCACAATGCGTCTGAAGCGTTTTGTCAAAGCTTCCTCTCGTTCAAGGCTGCTGGTCTGTACCTGAGAAACAGCTGCGGAGCCCAGCCTGAGTCAGCCCTGATCCGCACAAATAAAACACAAAGCCAGCACATGCAAGCTTATCAGATATTAAAAAAACAAATGATATGAGCAAGAACGATTTCTCATTTCCTCTCTGAGACCCCAGGAGTTCATCCTGTGGCTCCCGTGGAGGCGGTTGAGAGGCACACGCGATCAATAAACAAAATCCCTGTGGACATCTGTTTGGACAGGTGCGCTGATTAAGAGGGGCACGTCAATGGGCATCTCCGATACAACACCGGAGGAGACGGCATCACGGGGACACGGGCCAGATGGTGACGGGCGGGTCAGAATAAACCAATAAGCCACCTGAGGCTGAGCATTACCATGCGAGGCTTAAAGGAATAGTTCACGCAAAAATGAACATTTGCTGAAAATGTACTCACCTTCAGGCCATCCAAAGATGTAGATGAGTTTGTTTCTTCATCAGAACAGATTTGGAGAAATGTAGCATTACATCACTTGCTCACCAATGGATCCACTGCAGTGTACGGGTGCCGTCAGAATGAGAGTTCAAACTGGAGTGGTGTGGATTACTTGTGGATTATTGTGATGTGTTTATCAGCTGTTTGGACTCTCATTCTGACGGCACCCATTCACTGCAGAGGATCCATTGGTGAGCAAGTGATGTAATGTTACATTTCTCCAAATACTGCCAATGCATCCATAATGCTACATTTCTCCAAATCTGTTCTGATGAAAAAACAAACTCATCAAAATCTAGGATGGCCTGAGGGTGAGTACATTTTAAGCAAATTTTCATTTTTAGGTTTAACTATTCCTTTAACTGTGTTTATAGCATTTATAAAGACAGAAATACATAAATGTTCACTAAAAATGAAATTAGGAACAATAAATCACAATGAGCAATGCTAATTCTTGGCAAAAACTGAAAGCATAGTTCATCATTTACCTGCAGGCTGTTTGCGGTGTTGTAAAGGGTTGAAGCAACTTGGTGCATTAATACAGAGCTCAGGTGGAGACGTGGCGTGGTGAATCTGAGTCCAGCTTGTGTTGTCTTCTGGTCCTGTCCTCCTATCGTTTGGTCTCAAGATATCTGTTGTTCAAAAAGACAAAAATAAAAAAGTGAAATATATTAGAGCTATAAGCTAGGTTATTTTGTTCAAGCGTAGCTCCAAAAAGATTTTAGTGAATCAAAAACATCCAGTGTAAACCAACCGATTCCTGAACAAGTGACTCTTATGAGCCAGTTCTTTATAAGGAACTGAAACATAACACGCAGAGCAAATGATTCCTTTTTTCCTAATTTTTCTCTGAAGTGAATCTAAACACATATTGCACAAAAAGGTCCAGACCAAATGATACCTGAACAAATGACTCATGAGTAGGGCTGGGTATCGAGTTCGATACTTTTTAGGCACCGACCGAATTGCCTCGATACCATCGAGTATCGAAAAACCAAATTTCGATACATAAGGGGTTAATCTCATCAGCGTCAGTGAGCCAATAAGCCTGCAGCACTAGCCGGTGTGTTCAACTAGAAGAGGTGCGGCGCAGATCGATCATCCGCGAGAGCTATTCGAAAGCGCACGGAGCAGTCTGCTCTCTTTAGCTCTCGTGGTACTGTAATACACCGATCGGTCTGCACAGTCTGTCCGGGTCAAGTCGAACACACCTACTAGTTAACACCGGTTACACTCAGAGATGTGGCGCACACGTGAGGCTGTAGTGTGAATGCGTCCCAGCCCCCATAGATGTTATGTGTTATGTGACCATTCATGCAAACTGTAGCATCATGCTACATAAGACAATAAATATGATTTATATTCCGCTTTTACCCAAAATCACTTTAAACCACCATCGAGTGTTTGTAATAACTTCCGATTGCCGTCTAATGTGTGTTTTGGCCATGTAATGTTGCTGAAATGAAATATGTTATTACCTCTGAGTCAGAGCAGCGATCATGGAAGAGAGAACACAAGCAGACAGCGCTGGAAGCTTCTAATGCTCATCAGTAAATCAGTGGAAAATAAATAGAAATCATGATTCTGTCTGAGCTATGCGTTTTAAAATGAACACTAACTAGTGTAAATGTAGCCTAACAGATGTGTAAACTGAAGACTATTTGAGCTTTATTAAAACTATTTATTTTGTTGGTTACATTTTGTTCCTTTGTGCAGTGGCTCAGGAGATGAGTCTTTGAGATTGTATAAACATCGACAAGCTGAAAAATAAAACCAAAGTTTTTTTTTTTTTAGATAATGTAATCTTGTTAAAATGTATTTAATAAAATTGGTATCGAAAAAAGTATCGTTCAGGAACCGGTATCGAAAATTTTTGAATGATACCCAGCCCTACTCATGAGCCAGTTCTTTACAGTGACTGAAACGCATACAGTGTAACCAGTGTAGACCAACTGATTGCCAAACAACATACTTCTTTTGAAAGTCAATGAAAAATATGTCTCTAATTAGTTGTTTGTTTTTAGTGAATCAAACACATGTATCTTGCTGTCTTTGTTTTGTACTTAAGACTTTGAGACATAAATCATTGTGTACTTCATGATTATGTTAATGTAATTGATGGGAAATGATTCCATTATTTGGCAATGCCACCACACTTCATTTCCTAAATATTTCTTCTTCAAAATACAGGTATTAAGGCTCATTAATAGAAGCAGACTTGTTACATTCCTTAAGAACTGCCATTCTTAATCATAAACATGCAACATGATTGACAGGCTAAGACTTCTAGCCACTCTCCAAATCCTTTTTATCATCTTTTCACAGCATCTGGATCTGTCACAGAGATAGATCTGATGCCTCAACACTCCTATTTCAGCAATAGCTATCAGCTAGTGGAGACGTTTTATCTGTGATATTAAAGCCATTCCTTATAGCACCTTTAATAGGACAAAAGCATTATGAAAGATTGTTTGACGGATTGAAGGACTGTTTGCAGATGTCATATCTCTCTCAAAGCGTCAATTATATGATTCTTCCTGTTTTTTCTGCACCTGCCCATAAGAAATACCACCATATACTGTAGTGTATGTTAGTGTTATTTGATGTGGTGGCGCATTGTTACCACATTTTTTCCACTCAATTATATTGTAATAATGAAATGTCATTTTAACTAGGGCTGCACGATTATGACAAAAATCATAATTGTCGATTATTCCCTTGAAATTGTAATTGCGATTATTAATTACGATTATCACAATTTACATTGAATGATGTTTATACCATTGTTTGATGCAACTGCATGCTGTATTTTTATATGAAAATAAACTAGCTGAAAACACTCACTAAAACTTTTAGTGCTTTTCTATAGTATTAAGCCTCAAATGTCAAATATACATTGGATTTGTTTCTTCTTTAAATGATAAAAAAGTTAAAATATGAATGGTATTATAATGTTATACTAAAACTAAAACAATGGAAAAACCCTTAAGATAACATGTAGAAAGAAAAAAAACATATCTTAAGCTTAAGAGTTAAGAGTTGCTGTTGTTAAAACAACATATTTTCTCGTAATCATGAAATGTTGTTAAAACAATTTCTGTCATGACTACTCTCGGAGGGATTGGCATGGTAATGTACATGGCAATGTTAATGGGTAGAGCAAGTACCGAGACTTTCTACTGCCAATACATCCACAACATGCTGCTGTGAGCATGTAAGAAATATTGCTGCTGCAAATATAACATACATGAAATAACCCCCATATAGCATACATGAATCACCTCGTAGCAGATCTATACAGGTGGAGCTGGGGAAGGTGGGGGGTTTCTGAAGTAAGCTGCAACTGCTACGGCAAGCACTAGTCATATATTTGAATGCTGAGCAGTGAGCTCATTGGCTGCCGATACAGGAGAGAACCAATCAGCTGTGCCATGTGATAATGATGTAATTAGGTCAGATTGAGTTAGACCTATCGGACTGCGCCATCTAGCGTTTCATGCCAGAACTCTATGTATTTTCTCATAATGAGATTTTGTTGTTAAAACTATATTTTCTTGTAATAACAAGATGCTATTTCACTTAAACAAAATATTTTCTTGTAATAATATGTAATGAAAATGATATATTTAATAATAATGAGAAAAAAAATCATTATTACGAAAAAATATATTGCTTAAACAACATTTTCTGATAATAACAAGATATTATATTTCCTTTAAACGACATGACATCTCATTATTACAAGAAAAGATTTCGTTTAAACAAGATAGCATCTCGTTATTACAAGAAAATATAGTTTAAAAAACAAAATCTTATTATGGTAACAGCAATGCACCACTGTAATTTTAGTATCACTGAGATACTTAGTTTGTATTTTTATATTACCCATTTTCAATTTTATGATTTTTTTAAAACAAGTCAATATTTTTTCCCCTGTTTTAGTTATTTAACAACATCAAGTTAAACTACATGAAAATGAGAAATTATGCCTTAGCAACTAGCTGAAATTAAATAGGTTTTAGTTTTTTTTTTTCATATTTGATTTTTATTTCTGTTAACATTTATTTTATTTCAAGTAACATTTTAAAAGTTTTAGTTAACTATAATAAACCTGCTGTAGATAAACTACAAGCAGACCAGAATCAGAGCGAAAAGCTCCATCTGAGCTCTTTCACAGCCCTCACAGAAGGAACAGGAAGTTGGTGCGCGTTCGATCTGGTGATGGGCCAAGCTCTAGATACCAACGGTGCGAGGAAAGCGCTCCCATGGCAACAGGATGAGATTGGTTTGCTTAGCCGTGGTCCGGTCCGCTCACGCTCTAATGTAAAGAGACAACATGCTGGAATTAATCAGCGTGTCAGAGAGGAGGGAAAAGTCAGGAGAATTTCATTTGAAGACAAAAGAAATTAAAGCCATTTCTTTTTTTCTCCCCCCTCAACACACATATCCCTGAATCTCCTGGGCTCCGAGGACACGGAGTTACACCAGACGGCAACACGCAGACATTTCTCACCGAAGAGACAGCGATTTTATAGCAGAGACGAGTGAATGTGGGTGACAGAGAATGACAGAAGACAGCAAAAAAAAAAAAAACTAAAAAAAACTCAAGGCGTCTTCACGCTAGATGTTTCCTTTCAGCTCTGCCGGAAAGACAAACGTCAGACTCCGTCAAAATCCTTCAGACTTTAAAACAATCAAGTTTTCATGTGACAAAACGGCAGCTGTCACATGAATATGCTTTCTAAAGGTCATGAGTAAAGAGAATACCAGAATTGTATTCTAACCTCAGACTTCCAGGTTAAACCTCAAAATCAGATACTCACGAGTATTTATTATGTATATAGTGAAGTGAAGTGACATGTGGCCAAGTATGGTGACCCATACTCGGAATTAGTGCTCTGCATTTATCCCATCCAAAGTGCACACACACAGCAGTGAACACACACACACCGTGAACACACACATGGAGCAGTGGGCAGCCATTTTTTGCTGCGGCGCCCGGGGAGCAGTTGGGGGTTCGGTGCCTTGCTCAAGGGCACCTCAGTCGTGGTATTGAAGGTGGGAGAGAGTGCTGTACATTCACTCCCCCCACCTACAATCCCTGCCGGTACGAGACTCAAACCCGCAACCTTTGGGTTATGAGTCCGACTCTCTAACCATTAGGCCACGACTTCCCCTCATATCGCATACAGCTGAATATATTTCAAGCCTGACCTATAATATGATACGCATAGTAGCATATTTGGAAACTTTGTCATGATGCTAACATGGCAAAGTCATTCAAATAATCAGTATTGATGTATAGACTTGTACATTATAATTTAAATTCATACATTTTAATGTGATCGACACATGGTTGAAGTTAATTTAATATTGTATTTCTGTTTAATCACTGACGGACCCCTGCGGTACGGCTGCGGACCCCCTGTTGAAGACTCCTGCGGTATGCCAATATTAGTACATACTGCCACAGCATAATGCATTTGATATTTTAGACCCCCACGTTTTGTTTGTATGTAAGCATTAGCATCTAGCTAAATTCATTACTTGGTAAAAAAAAATCTGCCTTGCATTCCACTTAATTTTTCTTCAACTGAAGCAATGAACAAATTACTCTTATTAACTCAGTTCT